AGAAAAATTTAGGAAATTTCTTAGTGGAAAAATATTTTATGAAAAACACAATAAATTTTTTGAATTTCGAAAATGTATCTCTAAACACTCTTTATTTTAAATCAAAATATTAATAGATTCGGAGATGCATTTCCGTCATATTTCAAAACATATCTCATACATCCTTTTCTGAAAGACCCCTTACATGTTTACTGTTTCGTAGATACATATCTGTATAGGATTTACGAAGATACATCTTTGGAACCTATCAGAATAATACAAGTTAAGTTAGTTTTATGATTATTCAGAAGAAAATGACGATTTATAAATGTTAAGGATTTTATTTTGTGATGAGTATTAAATCATACAATTAGAGCTGACGATGAACTGAACCAACTCGAATATAGTTCGGAACTCAATTTGACAATTAAATTGTTGAACTAGATTATAAACCAAATAAGTTGAATATGAACAAAAAATTAAGTTCGTTAGTTAAATGGGTTGAACTTAAACTATACATAGTTCGACTCGTTAGGTTCATGAGTCAACTCGATTATATATGAGAAAGATCATACTATCTTTTAAGAGTAGGTTTTAAGATATATTTCAAATTGTAGACTTATATTTTCTTTTAATCTAACTGTTTTAACTGATAATTTATATTCTCAAATAAGCAAAATATTTTAAAAATAATTATAGAAATAAAATCAACATCATATAAATTATGTTTTTTAAGAAAATAATTTAAAAATCAACATATATTTTCTAATTTAAAAAATATCTTCTAAATGTCTTTAAATTTAGAAAAATCAATGTATATTCTAAATTTCTTTTAATTTTAAAAAATATCTTCTAAGAAAAATATATAAAAATATATTTAAATTTAAAAAACCATATATCTTTATTTGTTTTAAACTATCTTTAAAAAAAATAATGATTTTTTAAAAATTTATAGCATATACCTTTTATATTATTTTTAGAATTTATTTTAATTAATTTAGATTCAAAAATTTAAATATAATATATTTATTAATCTTATAACTTTTATTTATTTTTTTAAATTTTTTAAAAAATATTAATTTAAAATATCAAATATATAAAAAAAACAGACTTTAAAAAAATGATTTTTAAGTTTGTGAAGCAAGCGAGCTAAATTAAACGAGATGAACCTAACGAATTGAACTGAGTTGTTCGTGAACTTATAACAAGTCGAGTTTGAATTTTAAAAAAAAGTTCGTGTCGAACTCGAACCAATAATTGAGTTGAACCAATTCTTAACGAGTCGAGTTGAGTTGAGGCAAGTTTGATTCAACTCGACTCATTTCCAGCCCGACATACAATCGATATGCAAAAATATGACATATATAAATTCAGATAGTCAAAATAAGTCATCGACTTATACACAATGAAGTCTAAATACACAATATAGTCAAAATAAGTCAAAATAAAATACAATCGATAATAAATTTAAAGTATAAATACTATCAGCTACTCCTCTCCTCTACCCCTGTTTTTCGACGTTGTCTCTGGTACATCAGTGTCTCTCGTCCCTCCGTCATAATGGCATGTAGGACCCATCTCACCTCAGACCTATTAGGAAAGATACCTCTATCAATGTATGTCTGCGCAATCTCCACAATACGGTGACATCTAGGCAAGACATCACGAGCATGATCTAATTGTGTCTGCTCATCCTCTTGTATCTCCTGATGAACTAGCCTCGGCGGATGTCCTAGAGCAACATGCACCATATACAGATATAACACTTTGAAGAACCACCTGATGTATCCGTCAACATAACTTCAGTCGCTCTCAGCTATGGTACTCTGTGCCTCCTCCGGTACTATATGACTAAGATAATCATCAAACATGACATCCATATCTTCACCCATGATTAATGAATTTCAGGGGATCAAGGTCCTGCATATAAATAAATATATGTTAGAAACTCGTAATATAATAATAAATGTAATTTAAAAAGAATGAATCCAACTAATTTTACCTCTCCTTTCTAGATATTTCTGACAATATGGTTCAAGAAAATAGGCAGCATTGACAACTCTACGGGGCCTTCTTCAAATGCCTGAGGTGGCACTACCTGATCAACCTCAGCAGCTTGAGATGGCCCTAACTCATTAGTCTCATAAGCATGATGTGGCATTGGTTCATCAGTCTGAGGTGGCACTAGCTCATTTGCATGAGATCCCTCTAGTGTCTGGGGTGGCAGTGGTACCTCAAGTACCTCCAGTGACTCGGGTACCTCTGGCGCTTAATTAGGTGAAACATATCGCCTACAGGAAGATAAAGGAAGTTATACGCCTGTATGTGACACCCTACAGGAAGAAGAAGGTGAAGATATATGAGCCCTAGAAGCTGATGTCTTCGCATGAATCGACTAAAGGGAACAAGAGTCTCCGAAACCTGACTCTTTTTCCTCTGGACAGATGCATGATGTGCAATTCTCTCGTGCCTCAGTCTATCTTAATGTTTGTAAATAAATTAGACAAGTGTCACATAATTACTATAAGCAACCCTACAAGCAAGAAAAACAAAAAAAATAAATAAAAGCAGACAGATAAATTACGAAGATGCATCTCTGATTTCTGTGAATCCAAACGTTGAAAAATCTCAGATATGTATCTCCTTAATTTTCTACAACATACAACTTCATCAAAGGTGATAATGCAGACCACCAAACCCCCAAAAATACTACATACAATGTTATTTTTAAACATCAAACACGTTTTTCAGTGTGTATAAATCATCAATCATGCAAAAACTATCTATTTCTTAACCTAATCATCAATTTCTACTCATTTATACAAAACTCAAAAAAAATCACAAAAATCCAAAACTTACAAATTGAGAGTTTACTTCAGTGTTGAATGATCTCTTTGATGTACTTGATGCTGATGGAAGAAACTTTGAACTTGGTTGATTGGTTTTGAGAGAATGTGAGTTGAGAGAGTTTGAAAAAATGTTTATTGCTTTTTTTAAGTGATAAATGAAAATGGTTCTGGCGCGTTTTAGAATCAATGTTCGGAGATGCATCTCCAAAATATACACGAAGATGCATCTCCAAAATGTACACGAAAATAATTTTTTTAACGTTAAATCAGAATTCTATGGACTCAGAATACGTCCAAAGATACATCTTCAAAAACTGAAAACATTTTTATATTTTCACATAGTATCCTAATAATACGTGGAATACATTAAGAAATTCTCAAAATTTATTCCAATTCCAAATACAAATAAAACTTGCATATGTTTGATGTAAAGTTATACTCTTAGGTTAACCATTTTTCTACCCATCCACCTTAAAAGCACAAAAAGTGCTGTAATGTGCTTTAAACTTATGACAAATATGATTCATTAAGCACATGGATGGAGAGTGTTGGATTCCATCTACTCAGATAAACTTCCTCTAATTAGTAAGAAAAATAAAAGGAAGAGAAAGACATGAAACAACAATATTCCGCGCTTTTTCCTCAAGGGGCAAAAGAATAATCGCTTTTCTTTTATTACTACAAACAAAAAAAAAGATCAATTTGAACACAACATTCTTTAGCAAAAGACAAACATATAAGCTGATTCGTTTCATTTTTAAAAAGCAGTATGAATACGTGATTTAAAATGATCATAAAGTAGTTCACCAGTCTTCTCATGTTTTCAAAGTACACAATTCAATGACCAAACAGGATTTCAATTCTTAAGCAGACAATATAGAAGAGATTTATCATAAGATTTAGAGATCATTAAACAAACATGGATTGTATTCGTTTATTAGTTTCCCCATATACATCACCCTTCTAGGACTATCTTGTTCGAGACATAATAAAACAACAACATCCCAACAAGATACGTATCATAATTAATGCTTCACCACAAATTAAATATTAATAACCAAATTCACTAGACTCAACACCCATTTATTTGTTGGATACTTCAATTAATGTTACTAAAACTTTCTCGTTAACAGTTAGTACTATCAAACTTTAATATTTAACTATACACAACACACAAATCAAATTCATCCACCCTAGTCCAAAATAAGTTTAATATTTTCCACCTTTCAAAAATATTGTTTAATAATTTTCAACCCGGAGGTTGAGTTAGCCTGTTGGTGAAATTTTGGATTCTGAAGGTATATTTATCTCAAGGCCAGGTCCGAATCTCTAATGATTGCAGGTTCGAATCGTACTAAGTGCTAACAATTTAGCTCTGCACTGCACGCATCTCGCACAATTGCAAATTCGAAAAGTACTAAGTGCTAACAGTTTAGCTCTGCACTTGCAAATTTGAATTATACTAAGTGCTAAGGTTTGAATCTATCGCTGTCGCATGTTCAAATTCTCCTAAATGCTAACAGTTTAGCTCTGCCTTCAATTGGGACCATCACAAGGGAATAGTAGGATTGGTCTCTTGGATTAGTTGTTTCTAAGGGCGAATGACGACCTTTCAAAGAAAATAAACTTTGAAAACCTAACAGTTTTTTCTTCTAATCTCTAAAAAACTGTCTTTGAGAGATTAAAAAAAAAAAACTGTTTGTAACCTTGTGTTGATTTTAGTCCCTAAATCATGGACCATCTGATTCCGACGTGAAGAAGTATTACACAAATAAAAACCAAAACACATTTTCCTGTTTCAAAGACTAGATTTTTTTTTACAGGATTCAAAAACTGGTATTTAGGCAAAAAATTATGACTACCATGCATTAGACTTTTTTTAAAATAGAGCAAAATAGTTGCCATTTGGCATCTTTTCCCCAAAACCAGCACTAACAGAAACTAGCATGCATAAGTCAATGGTAGACCACCCACCTCAATAACTCGTACATTTTACTGCACATTTTCGTCATAAACGACGATTGCGTCAATGTGCTTGAAGAAGACACTTCAAAACTACAGATTAAACAACCCTTAACAAAGTATTTGACTAAATGAGCATGTCCTATTACAAGAGAATGCATTACACAAGTTCTTCACATGCCTACACTTTTCCATTCCCGGGGTTTTGTTTCAATTACCCCTAACTTTGATGAATGGTGAACCAGTTGGAGCACTGAGACCAAGGCTTTGCATCACTCTAATCCTTCGGGAACTCAATTCTTGGAGCTTCCCAGTGGCTGTTTCCTGAGAATAATATAGTAAGTTAATGGATCCAACCAACCAAAACACAGAATAAAAAGGTTTCAAGTCCATATACTCACACAACTTGGGCTAGCCAGATCATCGTCCTTTGACTCCTTGTTTTGTTTTTGGCGCTTGGCGGGGGTCTGCTCCTCGCCTTTAGTGTTGGACTGTTTTTGGCGCTTGGCGGGGGTCTGCTCCTCGCCTTTAGTGTTGGACTGTTTTTTGCTACTACTAGCTTTCTTACTTGGAGTTCCTGCTGAAAAATAATGATGAGTTTGTTAGGCTACATATATATAGATTTAAAATCAATTAGAGAGTGATTGCATTAACAATAACTAATATTCAGTTTTATAATCAGTTACTTAGCCTTCTGATATATTCAACATAACATAAATGTTAATATTTTAACCACCCCTGAACCTTAAGCTACTATATTCTAAGACTGACAACCATCTATGTCAAAGTCGCGGACAAGTTTGGTTGGAGACATGCCTTCGTGTGATGGTAAATTGGCAAGATATTGATAGACACCAACTAGTATTATTATTACCAAAATGAGAAAAAGAACTATGATTACAAGCATTTCCTGGAGTATTTCAGAGACTCTAGACTCACCCAAATGCCTAAAAGTCCCCCAACTATTTCCAAATGACTAGATAATCCTATCCCTCGTCACTCCTCTCAATTTATAGGTAGCATGCCTTAATCTCCTTAACTATCTTCTAACCCACCCACTAACTGACCAATTAATTAATTGCCGGATAAATAACTGACCAAGCCACTTAACATTCAGTAACAGAACATACTTATCAATACCCCACTCCAAGTCTGGGTGAAAGATAAATAACCCAAGCAGTTCCTCCAGGACCCCATTTTGCGTGAAACTTAATGACATAGTTCTCAATCTATCAAAAGGTCGGGATACTATGCTAGGTAGGATTATGGAACCCCTAGAATGAATCATGGTTTTAGTTGCAAAAGAGGAACTGAATTGTTTGTTGGATTCCATGCATGCCCTCTTTCATGCATGCCTTGGCCGATGATGATGGATATAATACCAGCTGAATGGAGATCTATGATGTCCCAGTCAGCAGCTGTATCACTACACTTGTTATGAGCCCAAGTGTCATACAGAGATCTGTTTTCCTTGAGGCCCGTCTTTTCTCTTCATTAAATTGGACTTGTCCCATTAAATCACAACCTTGGCTAAAACTTTGAACTTCAGATCCATCCTTCCTTCCTCTGTTTCCTCATACATGTCTATCTTCTTAACCCGGATGCAACCCACTCTGTTCATGGTGGAGCTAGCTTTCAGCAGCTCCTCCAACGATACCACTGCAGCTGTTACCATCTCCTTTGCATTGCCGGCTATGTTTCCTTCTTGATCTTGTTAAGTTGAAACTGTTTAAGATTTCATCTTTGACACCGGAAAAGCGTTGATGACAACCTGCACCAACGGCATTCACATATTTATCCGTTACCGGCATCTTTCTCCCCTCCTCAGCAGCTCCTCCAACGATACCACTGCAGCTGTTACCATCTCCTTTGCATTGCCGGCTATGTTTCCTTCTTGATCTTGTTAAGTTGAAACTGTTTAAGATTTCATCTTTGACACCGGAAAAGCGTTGATGACAACCTGCACCAACGGCATTCACATATTTATCCGTTACCGGCATCTTTCTCCCCTCCTCAGCTGAGATTGATTGTTAGCTCCTCCCTGTCCAATCTCATTTCCATTGCATCAGATTTGAATTGTTGTCCTAGTTCAGATACAAGTGAGTTAGAAGTCACACATTGTTTGGAAAAGTGGAGGTTGAGCAATATATAAGTGAGAGGACCCATAAACCTAATGTCTTAAAATTTTGGATGAATATGTGTCGTCTCTCTCACTTGTGTGGTTGTTCTTGACCCAGTGTGGATGCCTCCTCATGGTCCATCAATAGTATCAGAGTCGATGGCTCAACTAAGAAGACCATCTCCTTGTATCGAAAGTCTTCTTGACAAGGTGGTGGTCAGACGGCTTGACCTGTTGAAGTTCCCATGACGTGGTAAGGAGGACAACGGTGGTGCAAGTGTATGTGGATAAAAGCTGACCCATCATTCCTTCCAACAAACCCACCATTCATGAGCTTCTCCCCTCAATGCAAATGCAATGACCCATCATAGTTTTATCTCTTAGCTCATTCTTCTTGCTTCAAAATACTGCATTGCTTGGATAAGACACCAATAGTCCTACCTTCCATCAAATCTTGGAATCAATTATACAGCCACCTTCACACCAAAGAGTAAAGCCTCCATCGACCATTCAGCATGTAAAAACTGATCTACTGCAACAACTATCCACGTGGCGGTAGTCATTACATTCTTAACAGTGTTCATCTTCCTGCAGTGGTCCCTGGAGCCTTTCCTACTCCGCGCACCCTATATGGACGAATATTGTGAAAGTAGCGTGTCTTACCCAACGCGTTGGCCAACCATGAGCTAGGAGAATATCTTGTTGATCCCAATGATGACCTAATGGGATTGGATTGCAAGAAGGTCCTGTTACCCTAGAAGATAGTGGCTATAAAAGGGGTAAACCTAAGAATAAAAAGACAACGGATTTTGTATAACCTATAGAGTATGTTCTTTTGAGATGTTCCTAGACGCTTTGCCTTGCCCTAAAAGGAGAAGGGGAACATTCTTCTTGTAGTTTGTGTTTGCACATGTGAATAACTGTTATGATTATGTTATGATTAGTTGTTCAAATTTGGGCCAAGGCCCAATCTATATTGGACTGGGTCACCTGAGTCATAAGCAATTAGGCGGACTAGAGAATAGACACGCTCTAGAGGCACACTAGATTAGGGTCGAACAGTCCTTGCAGACTGTCAAATCATGGAACCTAAAGGATTCATCGACACCTATCAAAGGAGACAGCTGTCTCTGAGACATTATATCTTCCAATGCCTCTTTCCCAGAGTCAAGAATCCAATGTGCCAATAAGAACATGAAAGTCAATGAAGCATACAGGAGTGACATTAATATGCTTGGAAACCAATGGTCTGAGCGAAGACTTTCTGGTGATGGTAAGCAATGCACACCATTTGTGAAAAGAAAAAAACAGCAGTGCATAAAGGCATAGAGAAAGCACTTTCGCAGTAGAGTTTTCCAAGTCACAAACAGTTATTCAAATGCAGAGATGCAAGAAATGCGGAGAGAAGATTGAGAAGGTAAGGAAAGTAGTGCAGGATAAGAGTAGAACAACTGGGATACACACCACCAAGGTTTAAGAGAATGACGTGATGCAGTAAAAGAAGAAATGCAAACAGAAGATCTAGGAGAGGTAAATGCCATTGGAACAAGCATACAGCAGAGGGAGTAAAAAACAGAATAAATTACTGAAAACAACCATAACTGATAGCTGCAAAATAAAACAGCCACCCAAAACTAAACAGCAGCAAAGAAAAAGCAAAAAATGAACACAGATATGCTATTTCTACCATGTAAAGCATAGAAAACCATTATAAACGACACAAGAAAATGTACTAACCTCTGGCCTTCATTGCTGATTTCTTCGAGCTAGGAAGGCTCTTCACCCATAAAAAATACAACAGCAAACAGAATTAATTCAATATTTTGAAGACAACTCACTGTCTAAAACAAAACAAAAAAGCGTCAATAATACTTAAAGCCTCGGTATTAACAACTAAAATAAAGAAGCCACGGTTACCTTTTCAAGACCTTCGCGGAGTATCTTTGGGACATCCCCATTATTATTCTTGAGAATCTGAAAACTTAAATACATAAGCACAAACAAAATCTTGCCAAATCCAATAGATTTAAAAAGGGACACAAATTAGGTTTACTTCAAACGATCGCCAAATATCAACTCACCGTCTCAAACTCAGAACAAGATTTAACAGGATCCACATTCAAGCTGTGGGACGAAAAACACACATTAATTCAAATCAATGCACAAATAATTGTAGAAAACAAAAACGGAACAAACTACCGACAACAAATGGCTTCCATAAACCCGAACAAGAACCTCCCCCTTGCGACAACTTCTAGGTTTCAAACTCGAAACAACAGCATCATCATTAACAACCTATAATAACATCATCAAAAAATCACCCAACACAATCTAACCAGCAGCAAGTTACCATCAAAGAGTGTATCTATCTAGGTCATTCATTCATACATACAACACAACACAACACAACACAATTCACAAACCTGAGCAGGCCACCACAAACCACTGCGAGGAAGCTTGACGTAAATCAAATCCCCAAATGCAACCTGATTGTTACCATCACCCTCCATACTCTAACAATTCACCAGCCAAGAAAACACAAAGATCCCAAATTTTTAGTTTCACAGCTATAACTACCCCAACAATCTCACAAACTCATAAACAAAACATTCAAGAAACCATAACATGCATCACACTAAACCGTTTTACGCCATTTCTAACAGTAAATATTGAAGAAATTTTTCCTTTTAAAGCATAATAACAAAGAATATTTAAGAAACGAAGTGTAAGAGAAGTACTAGTACAGTAAAGACTTACAGAACGTGCGCGAAAGAGGAGAGAGACGAAGAAATTGAGAGCTTTGGAGCCAAAAAAATTAGCGAGAAAAAAGCGCAATTTCACTTGGTAACACAAAAGATAGAAAAATAAAATAGTTGGGTATTTTATAGACAAAGAAACACATTCTGTAATATAAAAATGAAAAACTTTTTTTATTTAATAAAATTTACATGACATTTATTAGATTTATGTGGGACCATATAATTTGACCAAAAAATTGTGTTGGAATGTATGTTTAGAAAATTGTTTATAGTGTGATTTTTTTTAAAAAAATTTCCAAGCAGAAGGATATGATTTTGTTGGAAAAAAAAAGAAATAAATATTAAATTATTTTTTTAACAAAAATGATAATAAAAGTGTTTCTAGAGGAATTTATTTTTATTTTAAAATTTGAGTTTAGATTTGAGAGATTTAAATAATTTTATAGTTATCATTTTTTCTGTTTTAAAATAAATGTCATTTTAATAATAAAAAATTGTTAATGATTGTCATTTTTAATTTTCAATTAATAAATAATATTTTTCTTTCATTAAATACTTCTCCTCTTATTATAATCAAATAAAAAAAATACACTTTTCAATCACTATTATAAGCAATAATAAAAATTTTAATTTATTGAATAAATTATGTATTTAGACATTATTATATATTAGATATATCAAATATTCAATGAACCTAAAAAGTTTTTTAATTGTTTACAAAAGTGACCAGAGAATGTATGTTTTTTAACATTGAAACTCTACATTTCATAATCTTGGTTGCCGTGAAAAGTAAATACTGCTTGTTTGCTTATACTCAACCAATAGAGTTGGAATCCACTCTATTTCTTTGTCCCTCCATTTTCTCCATTATTATAGTTTTGTGCGTAAATAACACACATTTCTAAGACATATGACATATAATTAATATTAAGTTAATTTTATATACAACAAAACTATAATAATGGAGAAAATTGAGGGACAAAGAAATGGAGAGGATCCTGACCCCAACAAATATCAATGATTATGCTTGCTATTGAAAAAAAAATAAGAAATGGATCACCTCCTGCCATTTATGTTCAGCCTTTTCTCTTGTGCTTAACCAATGATTGAGAATTTATAAAAAATAACTCACTAATAGTTTTTGAAAAGAAAAATAAAATGTAGATGAACGATTGTGATGAGACCAGTAAAGACAGCAAGAGAGAGGTGTAGGAGAGAATCCAAGTCCAAAAAAATATGATTTTTAACATTGAAACTCTATGTTTCATGAACTTGGTTGCCGTGAAAAGTAAATACTACTGTAAGCTCATTATTTCTTATTTCTATTGTACATCTTGTCGGTTCTTGCATTGTCTTGTTAAATAAATACTGGATTATTTATATGTTCTCTTGGTCATTTTTCCTTGATGACGGGTAAGACTTTACCAAGCAAAAAAAGTCTTTACAATTTGTTTATTAATCGATGTAATTGGTTTGATCTCTAATATTCTTGCAACTCTATTAATACTCGACTTCTTAGCTGACTCTTGTGTGACAAAGAGAAATACACCATTTTTTTCAGAGAATAATTCATTTCCTTAGACATCAAATGTTAAACGAGTTATTGCAACTAAAAACATGACTTTTCCAATAAAATTCTTACTTTTACAATTGCGTATTGGATATTCTTTATCTTGTAGTAAGTAGTAATCCTCAGACTTCTTTGTCATATAAAACTATTTCTCATCAATATGAACCATATTATACATCCCTGAGAAAATTGGATCATGTGGAAAATTGTCACTTTTAAGCATTGATATGTAAAAATGCATCTAGCTATTTTATTCTCTTCATTTAGATAAGGTTTTATGACATTTGAATGTCTTCGTATCACTCCTAACTCTAGACAGTGATATGTTGTTGATGGACTCACATTCAACAGTCAAGAAATAGATCTAATTGTTATTCTTTGAGACAAGGATGTCACCAATTCAAGCAAAATCAAGTTGAATTCTTTTGTGGCCACAATTTTTTGTTAACTTGTGAGATACATCAGCATATGAAAATTGAAAATTGTGATGCCACCAATTTTGTCACACTTGTTTTCAATTTTCTATCCGAACTTTTCTCCAAAAGAGATTCATATATGGCTCTTCTTTCATCATTAGACAACTTTCTTTGCCGGTGTTTCATTCAAAATATTTTCTTCATCACCTATAAAAGATTATATCAATTTTTTCTTAATTCTAGTAAAAATAATCATTAAAAAGTTAAATTAAATTGTAGTAATTAAAATAATTTATACATACCAATATCTGAATTTGATTCATATATCATATCTTCCTTATGTGTATAATTTTCCATTACCAACTCATCATTCAAGTCCAAAGTAAAAGAATTTAATGGGAAATTTTGAATATTGAAAAGGATTGGATCTTGGATTGATATCTCGTCACTTAAGTTAAAATCCAAAGGAGTTGATGTGTGAAGCATTGAAGTAGAAGAACTTTGATTAATATCATAAATAGATTCTTTTATATCTAGAATAACATTTTATATCTAGAATAACATTTAAATTTAGCTCTCTCAAAACTATTTTATAAAATTTTAAGATCTAAAGATATCCACTGTATTTATCAAATCTACCGAAGATTATAAAATATCCAAAACATGATACCAAAAACAAATTACCACATAGTCCATGGTTTCAATAATATAAATTAAAAGTATTTGAATTTAATCATTGTTATTTCTATAAAAACATGTATAAATGATTTGATTTATTGACTATATAAAGTTTATTAAATATGTAATTGATAATTCAAAAATATGTTACATTTTTTACTCGATACAGATGTATCTTTATGTCATTTCCTTTTTTTATAGTATTATGTTAATATTATATGTCTATTTCAGGTATTTTACAAGTAGGAATCTTCATGCGAAAAAACGGTGTGAAAAGGGAGCAAAAGACACATTATGCACTATCACGACAGACCTGTTGTCAGTATGACGGTCGCCATGATGTGTTAAGGCCAGGCCATCACAGGAAGAAGACAAAAGGAGAAGAAAATATGGCTCAACTGGATGACGGGTAGGTTGTTATCTGGATGACGTTCGTCATCCCTCCCCACTTCATGACGAACGAGTCGTCATCACCATGACGCCCGTCGTGATCTTAGTGGTCTTACTAGAATCTTGACACTAATTTTGTAAATAGTGGTGCAGCCCGAAATAGGATGAAAGTCTTTTATGGTCTTACCAGAATTACCATTGGGAATGAGGGAAACCAAAGTAGCATTTATAGTAGGGTACATTTTATTCTGGTTGAAAAACTCCATAATAGCCTTTACCACATCTTCCTTAACAATGCTCCAAGTCTCTTTAAAAAATTTGGCACCATATCCATCCACACCCGGGGCTTTGAGATCACCGATGCTATTGAGGGCTTGAGTGAATTTAGCTTCAGTAACTGGCATCTCTAACATCCTCATATGCTCATTAGAAAGCTATTGAGGGCTTGAGTGAATTTAGCTTCAGTAACTGGCATCTCTAACATCCTCATATGCTCATTAGAAACCCGGGGACCCTCCTTTATAGCTACAATATTAATCTCATTCAGATTATTATTTGCACTGCCCATAAGTTTTCCATAGAATTGTAACACCTCAGCTTCAATCTCTTCAAGTTTAGTAATCATAGTGTGTCATCCTCTTTAATGATAGTAGGCATATCATTATAATTCTGCATAGCTTTAACTTGGGCATGGAAGTATATATTATTTACATCACCAAGTCTCAACCAATTGATTTTGGCCCATTGGCGCGTGATCTCCTCCTCAATATTACTCCAATAAAACACATCATCGGTGACATCTTTCACTTTGTTGATTAGCTCAGCATTATAGCTATCCTGCATCAGATTATCTTGAAGCTCTAACATATTATTCCTAGCAATTTTCAAAGAGTGAGAAACTCTCACCACCGAAATGCTAAGAGCTTGGATCACCTTTTGAGTATTCATTAACTTCCTCCATAAAACATACGCAGGCCTCCCCTTAATATGGTTGTTCTAACTCTGATGAACTTTAGCATGGAAACCATCCACATCTACCACATTGTTGAGGAATTTAAAGTGGAATTTCTTAACCTGCCTCTCCTCCTCAAGATTCTTCAGCAACAGCAAGTTATGATCATACACATAAGGGGCCAGATTATGCAGGGTCATATCCAAATAATTTCCGAACCACTCTACATTAGCTAAGGCATGATCAATTCTAGAATAAATGGTATTGCCACTGTGTTTATTGGACCAGGTGAAGTAGTCTCCAGAATTATCCATCTCACAAAGGCTAGCCCTCTCCATTAACCTTCTAAGATATTTATATTCATTTTCAGTAAAAATGTTTCCTCCATTTCTATCATTGGAAGTCACCACATTGTTGACGTCACCAATAAGAAACCAAAGCCTTTGTTGGTTCATATGAATATTTAACAGATCATCCCATAATCTCCTTCTATGCTCTAACTGGTTTAACCCATAAATTGTTGTAAACCAGAACAGAAAATTGCCATGCTTGTCATATATACCATATTGGATAAACTGTCACTTTCCTCAACTCAACTTCGGTATTATTCCACCAAATCCAAGCCTCCCGTTAACATGGTATTTATAGTTATCCATATAATCTCCTTTTAATTTGAGTTTACTTCTAATTTTAGCTGCTTTATCTTTTTTTACTCTAGTTTCAATCAACACACAAATCATAGGGTTAAGAGAATAGAGATGGGAGCTAACCTCTTTTGTCTTAACCGGTTTATTGAGCCCACTAATGTTCCAAGACACAACCATGGGACCTTAATATGACTTACTAGGGGAACACTCAAAATCTCTAGAACTCTAAAGCCATTTTGACATTGTATGGAAGGTCCTTCATTCACAACTCCCTTCCCTTTATCTTTCCTGCTACTCGTGACAGTTGTCCAATCAATGTTATCAACATTAGATCTCCATTGGAGGAAGAAACAATAGGAACCACTCTTCTTTCTGCAACACTAGGAATGATCTCCACATTCTCCTTTGGCTCGACCACCTTTGGTATCCCATTCCTTGCTAGGCTTCTTAGGTTTGTCATAGTTATAGCCCACCTTTTGACATCTAGTGCAATACAATGGTTTCTATTTGTATTCAATCAGTTGTTTCAGACGGCAACCCTTAATATCTTTTATCACTATCTCCTTTTTCAGCTCTTGCGTGATGTCCACTTCCACAAGGATACAAGCATATGGTATCCTAAGCTTATTAGCAGTACATTTATTTGTCACCAACGGCGTTCCAATAACACTTCCTATCTTACTCAAGCTACAGGCTCCCCAAAGATGCAAGGGCAATTATGGTAACTTCACCCACAGGGATATAATTCTGAACATATCCCTTTGCAAGTTGAAATTCGATTTCCATTCACGCAGTAACATAGACCTACTATGGATTGTGTAGGGTCCTTTCATCTTTTTACTAGAAGGAGTGAAAACGCAAGATGAAAAAACCCTCGTCATTGTAAAACATATTAGGTAGCTTCACAAAGTTTCATTGCTTCAACATATACCGCTTGACTGCATTCATACTGAGGTCGTCCCCTAACACATACATGATGAGAGCAGTTTCCCGTAATTTAACCTCCGGTTCACATCCTCCGCCTCAATCTCGATTTCAATTTCACCATCTATCACTTTTGGAGCAAAGAATTCCATCGATAAACCCTTTGCATGATTCCTATTCTCATTGATAACATCAACCAAATGTTTCTTCTTCTCAGGATTTTCTTCTATTCATGTTTTAATTGAATTTTCTAGGGTTTCTTGATGCAGTTCCGATACCTCATCATCCTCAGATTGACTTTCACCATCGGTCGATTCATTCACCACCACCACTTCAGGTTGTAGCAGTTGTGTAGCATCCGCAGGATTCACAGTCACCACCATATGATTCGTCGGCAACGGGGGCTCCTTTCGATCTGGTCGCCCTCGCCTCCTCCCTCTCCCATGCGTCACCATCCTCTAATTCTTATTATTTCTTTTGTTGTTATATGTTGTTGTTATTGTTGATTCATGTTTTCAGAAGAAAAACAAAACATTGATAAGTCACAAGAAAGAGGCTTCTAATAACTTAACAATGTTTTGTTCTTTAAATTTTTCAAATTGCATTCATCTCACGCTATTTAACATATAGAATGTGGTTCAATAATCTGATTTATTTATTACATCTATATCTTCTTTTATAGTTTAATTTGAATAACAACAATTTATTGGCCAATAAATTGATGTTATTCAAATTAAAATATAATAGAAGGAATCGATGCCATGAAGGACTTAGACCATTGAACCATATTTTATATGTTAAAGAGCGGGAAGTGAATGATGAGACGCGTGCAATTTGGAAAACAATGGTTTGTTTAAGTTAGTTTTCAAGAATAATTTAATTTTCAAATTATATACTTCATCAATTTGAATGGTTGTATTTCTTTAGTGATGTGTATGGAAAAATAAGCAATCTACATATTATATAATAAACTTTGGGTACTTTCAACAACAATTATATATTTTATTTGTGATGAAATGTTATTTACGTTCCAAATAAAATGATGCATGTGGGTTTTGAATCGAGTATCTAAATGCATATATCACAATGATTTATATAAGTAACTATTGTGATAGGTAACGCACGTCATGCCTTATTATCACACTCTTGCCATCATGGTGGAAAGCACTAGACATACAATTACCCCTTACCTTACAACAATTGGTCAGGCGTCGTGGTATCCCTTTTCTAACTTTTATGGTATGACTTTTCCATAGTGGTGGATATTCCAGATATGCATCTTCGGAATATTTTGGAGGTTATATCGCGCCAAACATTTTTCCTTCCTCATTTCTCATCTTACTCATCTCTAAATTTTTTCTCTACATCAACTCAAAACTCAACCAACAAGACTTAACGGCACTTCAATAATCATCTCTAACATCAAAATCAACATCTGAAACATCAATTTCTTATAAGTTTTTTTAGTTTGCGGTAAATTTTTTAGTTTTTGTGTAAATGAGTAGAAATTAATGATTAGAGTTAGAAATGAGTATAAATAGCACTTAAGATAGTTTAGACATAGTGTATTAGACGTTTGTTGGCTGAAAATGATGATCAAAACATATTTTTTTTGAGATCGCATGGGGTACATTGACACAACTTCTGAGTTGCAGAAAATTCTGGAGATGCATCTCTGAAATTTGTTAGTGTTTTAGTTTCCCAGATTCCGGAGATGCATCTCCAGAATTTTCTGCAGTACTTTTTATTTATTTTCTTACTTGTGTGTTGTTTGCCCGCACTACGTACTTAGGGGAAGCTTACAAACCTCACTCTAAAGAAACTATCAAAATTGTTAAAATATAAACTCAGGGGATCTTACAAACATATCTATGATGTTTTATAAAAATGATCATCCAAGTAAAAATTGTTTATCAAACTACATGGATTTGTCATCATCAAAAAGGGGGAGATTCTTGGAATGAGTTTGGTTATACAACTATCCTTGAGTTTTGATGATAACAAAGTGTATAGAACAATTTTATACTCTAACTATTTTGTTGAGTATGCAGAAAATAGAAATTAGATTTTGTCTCTGAAGATGTCCAGACTTTGAACCAAAGGATAATCTTAAAAGCGTGTTTACAATCAAGTCAACTCTTAAGTGTGAAGTCAACTGTGAATTGTCAAAAGAAACGTTTCTAAATAGTAACCATCCAGATAGACTCTGATTATGACTACCAGCTTTTGAAAGTATCAGAATCCAGATCTCTAAAGACTCTAGTAGTCTCACCAAGTTCTGAAGACAGACTTTGAGCTCTACTTAGGCTTCATCAAATTATATTAGAAGCCTCTGACTAGAAGTTTTGAAACCAAAGGTCAACAACTAATTGATGTGACAGAAATATAAAATAAATTCTATTTTACATACAAACTATTGTACTCTATACTAAAGAAGTGTTCATGTCCCATCATCCTCAACAACTATTTGCCGCAAGTGTCACTCTATTGTTGCATATGAAGTGACATTCATACAATGAACACATTGAGGATATTTCAACTTCACCCTCTAAGTGGTCTATTTGCTTATGTGTAAAGAGGTATTTGAATATTAAACAAACACATATGAGAAATATATGCATGAACTGATTTTCATATAAAAGTCATACACTCAGGATACGTGAATAGAGAAAAATAAGAAGTGTTTCTCACACTTATACACTTAGAACATAAATTCTTTGAACATGTTCGCTAAGTGTAATATTTGGTTTAAACTTGTGTATCTGCTTGTTAAAGCATCTTGTAAACACAAAACTGTTATATTAACTTTGGTTAATTTTCTTGAGAGACTAAGTGTAGTCAAAAGTCTCTAGAAGTCATTGACGGTTAGTTTTTGAGTTGTAATTCCTTGAGAAACTAGGGTATAGTCAAAATTCTCAAGAAGTCTTAGATAGTTGGTCTTTGAGTTGTATAATCAGTTTGATTATTGGATTAAGTCCTTATTGATAAGACAAAATCACTCAAGTGGGTGGACTGGACGTAGTTTCGTTAACAACAAATTGGGAT